GCGCGAGCCGCGGGCTGGCCCAGCACCTGCGCGACGCCCTGCGCGCCTTCGAGGAGCTGCTGCGCGGCACCGACATCGACTACTACCTGGGCCAGGGCTTCCGCGAGCAGCTGGCCCAGGGCCGGCAGCTGGCCGAGAGACTCAGCGACAAGCTGCGCCCCCGTGAGTGCTCGGGGACGGGAAAGGCTCCTGCGATGGGAGAGCGCTGGCGGGCCGTGGGGATGCTGACTGACCTCTGCCTTGTGTTTTTCAGGAGATCGGCAAGGCGGGGAGGATAAAAGCAGCCATGAACTGCTGGTGCTGAGGTACCCGCTGCCAGGGAGGGCCTGGTGGTTCCTGAGTGGGCACCGTAAAGCCGTCCCTGCTTTCGGTTGGGATGGGAAGGGCTGTGGGATGGGGGCAGCCCTGCTTCTCCCAGGCATCCTGGTGACCAGCCGCCTCCACAGACTCAGCCGGGAGCTCCAGGAGAAGGAGAAGGTGATCGAGAACCTGGAGGCGAAGCTGCAGGAGCGCTGCGAGTCCCCGGGCAGCAGCCGCCCACCCTCCGAGTCGTCCCGCTCCATCACGAGCACCTCATTCGTGTCCGAAGGGCTAGAGGCCTGCTCTGACGGTGACACGGCCAGCGAGTGCAGCCAGTGCCAGGAGGAACCCGCTCGGGGTGCAGGTACTGTGGAGCGTGCAGGGCTGGGGACCGCGTGTGGCAGGCACCGCGGAGTGTCCCCCATGGGGTGTCCCTGCCTGCGGCAGCTGTGGATACAGACTTGGCTGTTTGAAGTGTGACAAGGCCCCGGGAGGAAAGGTTTCCTCCAGCCTCAGGCAGAGCCGCTTTAACGTCTCTCCTGGTCTCTTTCCTGTCTCCAGGCCTTCACTTTGGCTCTTTGTCCAAGCCCGTTAGTGCCCCCCTGCCTGCGCTGCTCCCCGGCTTGCCCCCCTTCCTGCCCAGCGGGGCGCCCCCTCCCACGGCCCCCGCGCTCCTGGGCTGCTGCGCACCCCCCGTCTGCTCCTTGGCCGCGGCGCAGCAGGAACTGCAGGTGCTCCGGAGACAGCTGGGAGAAAGTGAGCGCGCGGCTCCGGCACGGGGTGCTCCTGCCTGCCCAGCATGCTGCGTGCACGGCCCCGGCCCCTCCAGCCTCTCCGTCCTGCCCAGTTCCTTCTCCTGCTGCACAGGGCCCTGAGGCCGGGTCCGGTTGCGGTGCTCACCTGGGGACGATGGGGACAGGCGCTGTCGCGGGCAGATAAGGGGAGGGTGGGGGGGGGATGCAACACCAAGGTGGCTCCAGACTTTCAGTGGGTGCTCCGATGCCTCAGGGGCCGGTTGGAAAGGGCTGCCTTGGTTAGCCCTTGTATAGCAGTGGGGCTGAGACCCTCAAACTCATGTCATGTAATCAGGGTGCCCTCTATTTCCCAGGGTGAGTGGGTAGGGCAGGGCACAGATAGCGGGACTGGGGAAGGGGCCACTGTGGGGGCACTCTGTGCTGCGCTCCTAGGCACAGAGAGAAGGGGGAAAGAAGCACATAGCAGGGAGTTGTTACCCGCAGCCTTCCTCCCTGCTCGCTTCCCTCCCCTTCCTCAGCACCTTGTCCTGTGTGTGCAGGTGCGCCGCTGCCGGTGAAGCCCGCAGTCCCAGCGGGCCCCTTTGGAGAGGGCAGCAAGCCCCCAGACTCCCTGTGCCACCACGGTGCCCCGCAGGCCCCAGCCCAAACGCCCGCGGTGCCTGAGACCCACGTCCTCTGGGACGCGCCACTGCTGCATGGGCCGCTCTATGGGGCCTTGGCTTCGGGGTACCCGTCCAGCCAGAAGCTGACAGGTGAAGTTCTGACGAGGGGCGTGGGGAAGGGATTCGGGAGAGCTACGGGATGTGGCCCTGGTGTGGGGCAGGGCAGCGGGGGTGGCACGGGGGACCCTGCCCTGAGCTGTGCCCCCGGGCTGGCAGGGGCGGACCTGTTGGAGGAGCACTTGCTGGAGATCCGCAGCCTGCGCCAGCGCCTCGAGGAGTCCATCTGCACCAACGACCGCCTCCGGGAGCAGCTCGAACAGCGCCTGGCCTCCACGGGCAAGGCCAGCGGTACGGAGCAGCAGCAGGACTGGGGCCAGTAGTGTCCTCGGGCTTTGCACACCCTGGTGCATGGGGACGTGCTTGCCCCGTGGACAGTGGGACACTGGTTGAGGGCTCAGCACCAATCCCCCTCATACACACCTTGCTTGCAGGCTTTTCCATTGACACCTACATCCAGGGGCAGGAGCTGGGGTCCCGGCTGAGCAGTGAGAACCGGACCCTGCGGCTCCAGCGTGATCATCTTTCCCAAGGTAGGGCCAGGCCCTCTGGCCCCCACATCCCGGATACTCAGCGAGCAGAGGGGTGGTGACATCTCCATGCCCTCTGTTCCTAGAGCTGGCACGGGCACAGGAGGCGCTCCTGGCTGCCTGTTCCCGGGCACAGGAGGCCGAGGCGGAGGCAGGCCGGAGGCGTGGGGAGCAGCGCAGGCTGGCGGATGAGCTTGCCAAGTGCCAGGAGAGCGTCCAGCAGCTCCGTGACGAGCGGCTCTCTCTGCAGGAGGACAACAACAGGTAGAGCTGGGGCTTTGAGGCCCCAGGGACGGGTGGCGGGAGGTGGCCCCCACATTGTCCCTTGACGCCCACGTTGCCGCTCACCCGCAGGCTGCAGCACACGGTGACGCTCCTGCAGCAGCAGTGCGAGGAGCACCGCCTGCTCCTGCAGGCCCTGCGTGCAGAGCTGCACGTCTACGAGAGCCTCCCCAGCCCCGCTGCGGAGGCGCGAGCAGGTACAAGCCCTGTCCTAGCCCCTGCCTGCCCTCCCCCTGCCCCGGGCCGGGGCAGCCCAGCCCCTCTGCCCCCCTGTTGCTCTGGGGGTGCTCAGCCCCTCTGCAGTCCTTGGGGGTCCTGGATACCCCTCTGCTCGTCGTGGAAGGAGGGAAAGCGTCTGGCAGCCCTGGACACAGAGCCGTAGCTGCCTGCTGGGGCTCTGCCGCTGCTTCTTCCAGGTTGCTTCCCGTCTCCTCCAGTGCGGGATGTTGGCACGAGCTCAGCAGTGCCCTTCTCCCCGCCACCCTCAGACACAGCGGTGGCCCGACAGATGGACGGTAGGTCCTGCAGCCTGGCCTGGCCGCGTGGGTGCCTGGAGGCTGCTGGACCCTGGCAAATGTGTGGTGCTGCCCTCCTGTGGGAGGGATGGCAAGCGGGGCACAGGGGGAGGCTGCTGGTGGATTGACCCAGCCCTGCTTTGCCCGCAGAGCTGCGAGGAGCTGACCCACCCGCAAGCAAGAGCGAGGGGCTGAAGGGTGCTCACGTCGTCGGCCGCCTGGACACGTACCGGGCACTGGAGCAGCGCGTTGTGGAGGGGAAGGCGCTGGCCCGTGAGCTCATGTGCCTCACGCGTCCCACCCCCAAGCTGCACAACTGCCCGCCCGCGGGCAAGGAGGTAAAGCGCGGGCAGGACGGGGACGGAGCCAGCCCTAGGACAGGCAGCGCCATGTGGCGGGAGGCCCCATCGGTACCAGCGAGGCCAGCGGGCAGTCCGGGTGACATCTAAAAGCGTGTGTGCACACACGGGCGCTCCCAGCCAGGCTGGGTCTCTTCAGTGGGGCTCCCCCGCAGGTGGCACATCTGTGTGCTCCGTGCGGCATGTGTGCCACCCAGGGCATGCCATGCTTGCCCTCTTGGAGCTGCCAGTACCTCCAGGCTGTCCCCATCCCTCCCCTTCCTCAGCACCTTGTCCACGGGAGCCTTCCAAACTGGGGCAGGCCCCGAACCTCACTGCTCACCTTGGGTCTTGCCACTCCCTGCACATGAGCCCAACGTCCAGCCCCAAGTGCGGGGGGCTGCTGTGT